GATTAAACTAGTTTAATCAAGAAGGAACTTGTATCGCTGAATTCAGTCGAAAGGAATTTATACCGTAAATTAACAAACGACCAGATATGTAACATTTCATTTGTGATATAGCTGATTGCAATCTTTCGTATGGCCTGGAATTGTTTAGTTGTTAGAGCATTCGATTCGCAATCTGTGGGTACTAAACCGTTGCCGAAAATGCTCGTCCTTTTAATTCTGGGGACATTGTAAACTACTAGATAATCACCAAATTCTTTAGTAAAGATAATTAATTAGTTGACTAGCTGCCTTTTCTCTAGTTTATTACTTGAAAATTAGGGACTGTTAGCACCGATATCCTCCTAATAGCGTAAAATTGAACAACAAATATCATGTTGATTATACAGAGCTATACTTGTATTTGAACGTAATTGTTATTCTCATATGACGGCATGGAAATGGTTGATTTTACTTTCGGGGTATCAATTACTTTCATAAATCATTATATCTGACCATTTCACAAATAGGTAGTAAGTATAAACATGCTTAAAAGTATTGAACAGTGATGTTAATTACCAACATGTGAGGTTTAAATTTTGACTTGAGGAAATATTGATTGGGCACATCTGTTCACTAAAGAATACAACACTTTAGTAGAAGCGTGCGTATATTAAGTGAACTATCACGAACGTACACAAATAAATATTGTAAGAACGTGTTATTTCATTAATTCACAATTCATCTTTTATATAGAACATAATCTAAGTAATTAAAAGAACAAGGTATGTCAGTCAGTCAGTGCGTGTATCTGTGCTACCTCACGTGGAAACCTAATATTCCTATTGGTTAATTGTACAGTGGTATTTTTACGTTTATACGAGTGTAAAAGTAAGCGAAATTTGACGTAAAGTATTGTATATGACTGCCTTCTCTCCAGTCTATTAGTGCTAAATTGGAGACAGCGCAGATAGCCCTCATGTAGATTTGCACGAAATTCACAACAAACAAACATTTTTTTATTGATACTCCATACTATCTTACTTCAGAATATGGGCCTCCTTTCACTATTCATTACTATTATTATCATTAAAATGTAACTTGATTTAAGAAACGTTAGTATTGGGTGAATATAATTTCAAAATATCAACCTTTTTGTTCTTATGCATTATATAATCGTATTTCATGATATATGACAAAAACAAATTCTAATTTTGTCCACTAGGTGTTTCCGTTTTTATGAATAATTGTAAGGGAATCTTGTATGTATAAATATAATCTGAGTGCGAAAGTTTCACTTCGTTTTAATATGATTGTCAATTCTTTTTAGTATAAAATCTCTTTGTAACAAATAATATTAACTATGCTTGCGCTACAGGAATACGGAAGCAGTGATACTGATAGTGAAAATGAAAAGGATAATAGGCTTAGCGACGTTAGTATGGAAGTATCAACTATCGGACACGAACAAAGTACAATTACATCAACGATTTTCCCCCACTTTCCATCGAAGTATACTTTTAGTATCAATGCTGCGCCTGATGTAGCCCCCAAAGACCCTCAAGGTTCTATGTTACCAGTTGATCCAACAAAAAACTACTTAAACTACAATCCGAAGTATGAGGAACTTTATGCACCTGTTATTGGGCCAGCTAATCCTTTCAAAACTGAGCAACAACAAGCTGAAAAAAATAGTCTTGCTGGTTACTTTGAACCAGTTCATGTTAACGAGTTTCATTTTGAATCTCAAAGGAGAACATTTTCTAGTTATGGCTATGCTCTAGATCCATCTGTTGATAGTTCAGCTAAGGAAAGAAAACACCTTGTTGGAGATTCTAAAGTTGCATCACCCAATTCTGTTGTGTCTGTTTTTGAAAAAATTAAGCCAAGACAAGGAGACAAACGAAAAAAAGTTAGAAATACAAATGCTGCAGATATTGAAGGCTTCTTAGGTCCATGGGGTGGTTATGTTGATGAAAAGAAAAATACCAAGCCTTCACCAGAAGAACAAGAGGAATTGGATGAAATTGTAGCAAAAAGACAGAAGCGTGGAAAGCAAACAGATGATAAACTATTAGAAGAAAAGACCATGCTTCATATTAAAGATCCTTATGATTATCAAGGACGCTCTTTCCTTTATGTTCCTCAAGATATAGGGGTGAACCTTCAAACAGAGGATCCTCCAGAAAAATGTTTCATTCCAAAAAAACTTATTCATACATGGAGTGGTCACAACAAAGGGATTTCTACAATCCGATTTTTTCCTAAGTCAGCTCATCTATTACTCTCTGCTGGAATGGACTGTAGAGTGAAGCTTTGGGAAGTATACAGTGATAGACGATGCATCAGGACTTACTATGGTCATCGGCAAGCTGTCAGAGACATTTGTTTCAATAATAGTGGAACTCAATTTTTATCAGCAGGATATGACAGACACATTAAGCTTTGGGATACTGAAACAGGAGAGTGCATTTCCAGATTCACAAATCGAAAGGTGGCTTACTGTGTTAAGTTCAACCCAGATGAAGACAAACAACATCTTTTTGTTGCAGGAACTTCTGACAAAAAAATAGTTTGTTGGGACATTCGGTCAGAAGAAGTTGTTCAAGAATATGATCGTCACTTAGGAGCTGTCAACACTATTACTTTTGTTGATGAAAATAGGAGGTTTGTGTCCACATCAGATGATAAAAGTATGCGTGTTTGGGAATGGGACATTCCTGTAGACATGAAATATATTGCAGAACCCAGTATGCATTCTCTACCAGCAGTGACTTTATCACCTAATGGTAAATGGCTTGCCTGCCAGTCAATGGATAACAAAGTGATGATTTTCTCAGCACTTAATCGTTTCAAACTCAACAGGAAGAAGGTTTTCACTGGACACATGGTGGCAGGTTATGCTTGTTCTGTGGACTTTTCTCCAGATATGAGCTACGTAATTTCAGGAGATGCCGATGGAAAACTGTACATTTGGGACTGGAAAACTACAAAGTTGTATAGCAAATTAAAAGCCCACGATAATGTATGTATTGCAGTTTTGTGGCATCCTCATGAAACATCGAAAGTGGTATCTGCTGGTTGGGATGGTTCATTAAAGTTGTGGGACTAGTTGTTATCTTTCATTGTATTCTGTGTTAAATGGAATGTATCAGCATAATCATATATGTTATTGATTTTCATCAGTTTTATTATTGACTACTTGATACATGTAATTATATTCATTGTGAAGGGATTTTAAATATTAAAATCATGCCACCCATTATCTTGTTTGTTTTTTTATTGAAAGGTTTTAAATAATGTATTTTTATCTTTCCTTTCTTGTATATTTAAAAGACAAGTAGTTTTTTCAATAAACTGGTGAAATTATCATTAAATAATCTTTATTATCATGAAATTTATGAAGAACTAATACTCTTTTCTCAGATAAAAATATCAAATTAAGTGAAATACTTTTCAAATTAATATAACATTGATTATTTGGTTGGTCAAAGCTGTCCTTACATACCCATTCCTCAGAATAATAGAAATTAAAATGTTAAATCCACCCTTTTTTTTTTCAACTAATTATATATGTCCCTCTTAAATTGCTGATGACAGTTTAATTTGCAAGTTAATCACCCTGTTAGCTGTTTTAACTGGAATATTGCTAGTTTTTTCCAAATCTTAAACTTCTCTTCTCGTCCTTGTATCTAGAGTATCAAGAAGCCTTTATTTTATGGATCCCTTGAATAATTTTTTGAACCTTTATAAAATCACCTCTAACCCTTTTCCAAAGAGATATTAACCCATCATAAGATACCCATTCAATTTCATCCCTGTAATAATCATAGTAGCCCTTGTCTGAATCCTTTCCAGTAAGTCTGTATCCGTGATAATATAAAGTGATCAAAGCTATATATAGTATTCCAAGGGAGGCTTAAGAAGTGATTTGTACAAAAAGGTGACTTATGTTGAATTGTAATTAATACATTATAAATTTTATTTAACTTAACTACTGGCAAAACTGCTTCAATTTCCAAAGTAACATATCTACCAATATGTCAAGATCCTTTTCTTAAAGCATGCTATTTATTGAGCAGTTTCCCATCTATGTTAAAATTATGAAATTTTTTTGATTGGTAAACAGATTTTATATTAAATATAATTTGGGGTTCAATGAACAGAAGGATTCTGGGAAAAGAGCGAGAAAAATTACATTTTATATGATTTGCAAGTGGCAAGCAGTTAGTATAGAAATGGTTTTAAAACACCATTGATCTGAAACTGATAAATTAATAAAAATGTGGAAAAAAATCAGAAGTTGTTTGTTTTTATCAAGTGTTAGGCATTTTAGTTTTCAATGCTTTGTCATATTTTAGAATTTAAACTTTAAGAAGTGACTTAAGTTAGTCTACAGTGGGATTAGAAGTAGAATGTAAAAGATTTTAAGTTAGTTTCAAGTTGGGAAATGTCTAGAATATAAATGAATTAATTTTATTTCTAGATAAACAATAAAATGAATTTTTTAGTTAATTTCCAGTTGGGAAATAAATGGTTTTAAGTTGGTTTCCAGTTATGAAATAATTGGACTATAATTTATTTTAAGTAGGTTTTCCATTGGGAAATAACTAGACAGTATTTGATTTTAAGTAGGTTATTAACTGAAAAGCACTTTAATACAGAATCTTCTATGGAGTACCCCATGAATTTCAATTGGAATTTTTTTATAACACACCCAATTTGCAATTGGAAAACAACTTACTTACATTTGGTTTCCTATTGAGAAGCAATAATTAATGCTGGGTGATTTATTGATTATCTGTGAGCATCTATTAGTGTTACAAAATAATCAATAAATCAGAATTAGTGTTTTTGATTATTACTGTTCTTGATTATTCCAATAATTGAAATATTTCCATTATGATTTCTGATTATTATATTTGATTAGTTCAAGATTATTCAACTTAATCAATTAGTGTCATGACTGATGAAAAAATCACCTAATCAAAATCAGTGTTTCTTATTATTCCAAATCTTGTGAGGATAATCAATTAGTTGTAAATAATTGATTAATGAACATAAAAGATACTTGATTAGTAAGTTCCACTAACTGACCAGCTGTACTAATAATTTGAATTTTCAGTAGGCCTAAATTTAATGTCATTGGACAGGGGTTTGCAAGAGGCATGAGTGTATAATAGCAAACTGACTTGAAGAAAATATCTTGCAATACGTAAATTGTTATGTTTTTAATAAAAGTGAAAAGTTTCAATGCTTATAGCTATAACTATGTTGCATAATTACATCATTACAATGTCAAGAGTATTTACAAATCTGTCTAGTGCACTGGACTTCACTGTACAAAAACACAGTGAAGCTCTGGTTAATGTAAACATATACCAGCCATTATTATGAGTATTGCATATCAGAATAAAATTAAAGAAAGGCTTCTTTGCTGTATACTCTCAGATATAAATCCAGATGTTGAGCTTGGCAGCAGTACTTTAAAACAACTTGTGTTACTGTACATAACTACAAGTAAAAAACATTTTGTATGTAAAATGATATAGAGATGGCAGTGATAAAAATAATGCAAACAAGAACATAGGGATGATACAGCTATACATAGATCATCCCTACATCACTTTCAATATTAAAATTTAATGTTACACTGTAATATGCATGAGTACAAAATGGTTATGAGTTCAGTCGCACCTCCTAGTGAGATTCTATGATAATCAAGACATGTTTTGACTCAGTTTGGTTTTTTTTGTATGTACGTCATAAGTTACAATACATTTATGCCTACCCTGACATGACCATGATATTATTATAAACAAACTGCTAACCAACAGTCAGGAATATATAACTTCCATCTGCAGTAATATTAAAGTCAATATGCATTTTACAGTGTAACATTAAATTTTAATACTGAAAGTCATGTGAGGATGATCTATGTATAGCTGTATCATCCCTATATTCTTCTTTGCATACTCTGGCACTGCCATCCATACATCACTTTACATTCACAAAATGTTTTTTATTACTTGTTTTGTAATGTGTTTTTTTTCCCTGACTGAAAGTTATTGTATTCTACGAATGTGTGTAATAAAATTTAACATTATGTATATTGATTTTATTTTTACTCCTTCACTTCATACATAATATAGGGGTTGGATCCCTAAAGACACTGATTATAGTGTAAAAAGCATTGCATATTCTATATGTTACATTCATCTATTATTGACTGGAATTCCTGGTTCACCCTATACTTAAACTTTTTAAAGGAACACCAGATATCTGTAAAAGAACTAACTTCAAAGGGTAATGATAACATTATTTACACAAGAATTATTATTTTTCTTCTTTTTTTTTTAACCAACCACTAATTATTGCGACTAATTAATATTAGTACAGTATTAGGATTATAATCCTAATATAATCATAGGATTATAAACATCATGCACTGCTCAGAAACACATAGAGTGGATTTAGGTTTAAACAGATGTTAATGATAAAATAGTTGTAGAGCTATCTTGACTGAAACAAGAAGAAAGATGAACAATTTGTTGGGTTGGTCACTTTCTGGTTTGGTATCTTAGCGAAGGTTTCTTGCCTTGTTTTGGGGCTTGTTGAGTAGAGATACAAATGAAAGTGATTGGAAATTGTTGATTTTTTAGTGTGCACATTTGTATTATGCCTACTGAGTATCTTGGTCATCACTACTTACAGTCTACTGACTCTGTGATTAAAATACACTTGTGTAAATTTCATCAGATTTATAAAATTCTGCTTTCAAAGGTATAGCAATAAAAGATAGAAGGCTTTTAAAAATTGCACATATATGTATGTGTGTTTATATATAAATCTAATTTTATAAAAGTGATGGGAAGTATTCACTTAAATACTGTACAGATTGAAGTTATGTATAAAAACACATACATTAACACACACACACATATATATATAATATTTGTAATAAAGAAAATATATAAATGTATTAACTACTACATGTTGTTTTTATACATAAAGTTATTTCATTTAGAATATAAAATTGTGCTTAGTTCAGTTATGTGAACTTGTATTGAAATACCTGAGCAATTGATCAAGGCTAGAGACTACTAATTAACATTACCATTTTTTAAAGTGTAGAACATAATTTGTGTGTGATTTACATTTGTAATCTACATTATTTTAGTCAACAGACAAACAGTAATCAGAGTCTGATATAAACAACCTGCTGGCAATTAAACTATATCAATGTAGGTCTGTCTATAGGCTTACAAAAAAGATGTATTCCAGTTTAATAACCAGAATTGGATGCATTCTCAACAGACAGTTTCTGTTACCAGTATTGCTATTTAATATCACCTTATTTTAGAGAATCTCTGCTACAAATTGTCTTTTGATACGTTTTTTGTACCAAAGGTCCACTAACTTGAGATTCACTAAAATTTGTCATTTCATCTTCAACCAAAAACAATACATTTAAACAACTGTAATTTATGTTTCAACTGGAAGATGAGGATTAAATTGATGTTTTCTAATTCTTCATATCCTTGTCAAAATAACCTTATAGGTATGAATTAAGTTCTTTAGTTCATTTACCATTTAAGAGCTGTAATTAAAAGAAAGCAATTATCCAAGAGTTCTTAAGGTCATAAAGTTAAACAATTATGGCTTGATATAAGTTATGTTTGGTTAGTGTATCCCAGTAGTATTTGCAATATAAATATTTTGGTATAGAAGAACTTTTCCATCTATAATGTATGATCTACCAAGAAGTATGCTATTGTAACACAACATACAATAGTGTGTCCTATTGTTTAGATTCATTCTGCTTGTACAACAAATAAACATTGTAATTTAAAATGTTGGAAAAAATATCAACATAGATCAATTACTGATTGTCTTAACTTTATCTGTGGCTGATATGTTATATGCTTAACTAACTTAGAATTTTAATGGAAAAGCAACATGTAGTCACAAATGTGCAAATTTATTACACCTCATTAATTATTATTTTATTAGCTTTACACCCAAAATGCTCATTCATTTTCAGTAGAAATTAACTTGTAATTATTACACACTAACCTTAAATGAAACTATTCCAAAATTAGTACACAAAAATTGTTCTTAAGTTCTTTTCTTTACTAATATTTAATGTGACCAACTTTGATATCAATAACAGCATAGCGTCTTTGTGGCATTTTATCCATGAGTTTTCTCAAACTTTCAAATTGAGTTTGATCCCGATTTTCTTCAAGCTGTATCAGTAGGCTTTCTTAGCACAGCAGGTGCTTTTGTCAAGCATGGAGCCCAGCTAATCCTCAAGGTGATGGATATAACTGACAAACTAAATAATACAGTAAAGAGTTCTAGCAGTGATGCAGTTTTTGTTGTCCAAATAGGAGTTAATGATGTTGTGAAGAGTAGGTCAGAGAAGCTAACTGATAAGTATGAAGTGATAAAAGTATTTAAATAAAAGGTTTATAACTTAATTGTGTCAAGATTACTGCAAGGACTTAATTGTGGGGATGAAGTTATAAGTACGTCATTAGAGCTGAATGTTAAACTTAGGTTAATATGTAAGGAGGAGCATACTGGCTGGTTTGACTTGTGGGAGGGTGGAGATTTGAGAACATCTGGATGCAAGTGCCCAATTAGGTTTCACGTTTTACTATAGAAGGAAAGCAGGAATAATGAGATTTAATTTATAAGTTTCCAAAGAGCATTTTCTGAAGGGATGCAACAAGAATTATCCGTTTTGAAATGGGCAACTGAATTAATTAGAGATACTAATGGAATGTGGAGAAAAACTTTAAAAACAAATTTTTAAATATTCAAAACAGACATGTTATTTATAGGAAAAAAATTTGGCTGCAAAAAAAAAAAACAAAAAAAAAACGTTGGTTCACAAATGGCATAAGAGGTAAAAGGCATTATGAATTTAAGAAGTTTAAACTGACTGTTATGATGGAAGACTTAAAGAATTTTATTAAATCAAAAGAGTTGGTCAAACAGGAAATTTCAAAGGGTGTATGAAAAGAGGTTTGCCAAACCTGTAAAACTTAATAGTGAGGATTTCTTTAAATACATTTAGGGTAAGTAAAGTCTTAAGATTGGAGCAGGACCTTTTAAGGATGATAAAAAATGGCTTGTATCTTATTATGAGATGGCTGAATTATTAAATTCTACTTTTTATTCAATTTTGATTAATGAAGACTCAAGCAGTATTCTTCATTTTGCATAGGAAATTGTTAAATAAGATGCATGATTATGAGCTTTTCAAGAAAAAGAAATCGATAGTTTATAAAATGATAAGGCTCCTGGGCAATATAATATTTTCCCAAGGGTTTTAAAGAAGGTTAAGGATTGGATGTGTGAGCCACTTGCTACTATGTTTTGTAAGTTCTCAACCAAAGCAGTGCACTTTTTCTGGTGGTGGGACAAAAAGGATTGTAAGTTGTATCTACAGAAATATTGAATAAAAGTCTAAAGAGGTTACAGTTTCATTGTATAGGTCACTGGTTATGCCAGATTTCATGTATTGTGCTCAGCCTTATTAAGGACATTGAGTTGTTGAAAGGGTACAGAGATCTACTTCAGAGATAGCTGGGGTGGGAAGGTTGTCATATGAGTACAGGTTAAGATCACTGAAATGTTTTAAGAAATAATTATACGGGATTTGACTAAGGTGTTTAAAAGTGTTAAAAGAATTGACAGTGTCAATACATCTCTCCCTACTTAGTGGTGAGAATGGTAGGATTAGGGGACACAAACATTAATTTTGGTCGATGGGAGTGGAAGTCATCTTCAGCTATGACAGTTTTACTTTTCTAACAGGTTCAGTAGCTTTTAGAATGAATTGCCTTCTGATGTGGTAGCTGTAATAAGTTTAAGGTAGTTTAACCGAAGGCTTGCTATGTATTAAATGATAGGCCTGGTTTTGATTTCTTTTTTTTTAAAGTTTTAGTTTAGTTGATTAGATGGTCTTTTGTTGTCCACATATTTTGTTACTTTAAGTTATCTTTGGAAGCCATTTCATTTGCTTAGAGCTCTCCTGAGCTTTATTTCTTTGTCTAAGATACTCAACATTTCCTGGAAGTGTGTTTGTAATCATTCTCTTAATGTGAAGCTCTGCCTAATCAGCTTCTTTCCATAGATTTAGTAACATATTATGGTATTTATGCTGATCTATGATTTTATCAATTTTGTGAAGATGACACACACAATTCACAGATATTGCATCCCAAACCACGACAGCACCTCCTTCACACTTGACTGTTGGCAAAAGACACACCTACTTTTTTGGCATTCCTTTGTGCACTGGTTGGAACCAGACATTTCCGACTTAGATTTGTATTCCAAAGACAGGGATACATGTTCTCTTGCAAAAGCTAGTCTCTTTGCATAGTAAGGGTTTTTTCACTGCTACTTTTTCCCAAAAGCCTTATTTATACAGTATGCTTGAAACTGTACTTCTTGAAACTTTAGGTATTTCTTCAGCAATGTTTTTACAGTTTTCTTTGTTTTTTTTCAGGGAATCAATTTTTAGATATCTACCATATTTTTTGGTGTATAAGACACACTTTTTTACCCCAAAATTTGATTCCATAATCTGCTTGCGTCCTATACATCGAAGGTATGAATAATATATATGTACATACACGATATACACAAGCCATGTGTATATATATTTAAATAGGCATGCATAATTTAGTTCAATTGAATGTGTTATGTATAACAATAGTAGTTTTTTCTTTTAAAAACATAACTATTTATAATGCTCCCTAAATAATAAAAAAATAAATTACAGTGAAAGCAATGGAGATTTTGTAGGTTTTGAACCAAACTAAATAACAGTAAACCTTTTTTTTTGAATTTTTGTTCAATGAAAATCTTTCAAATGCAACTGTAGCTTTTTTTCCCCCAAAACTTTGTCTTCAAAATAAGGGTGCATATTATACACCGGTGCGTCTTATATTCCAAAAAATACGGTAACATCTTTTTCTGTGAGTTTGGTTTTACAGTTCCCTGCTTTGTGTACTTCACAGTACTTAGTGAACAGCCAAGGTCTTTTCTTAAATTCCAACAAGCATCATGTTAAGATTGACTCTGTAAAAAT